TTGGTTGTCACAGCACAGCGAGGAGCCATCTCTATCGTCATTGTTTCTCCTCTGACAAACCAACAGCACTAGAGGAGGAGCATCCTGTTTTCCATACGGGATTAGGTGCATGTGGTCTTTTAATCATTCATCAAATCTGGCCCCGAGCTGAAATGCATCCAGGTTTACAGCTGACTGACACAATCTCAGCCAGATTCATGCGTTCAGCAGCAGAAGATGTTATCGTGTTGTTGGTGAACGAAAACATCCAGCAGTTTCTGAAAACGTACGGCTCCTCTCCATGGAGAATGCATTAAAGGCCTGCGATGTGTGTTTTTTTGCTGTAGTTGTGACGTAGCAGATTACTGACAGGTCGCTAGTACACGCCTCCGCTTGTTTTGGAGCTGTCCGCGGTGCTGAATTCACTGTTTGCTGGAGTGCATGTCTGTCAGCAGCCAAGGTGCCCCAGGAGAGGCCGATGAGCTGCAGAGAGATGATGATGCTGCCGGTTGGGTAATCCAATTGCATTGCGGAGAGGAGAGAGAAATAGTACTTGCTATTTATTAACAGACTCCTCACTCTTCACTGGAGACAAGTTAAAAGTGCATCACCAGGAACTCCTCTGTACTTTATTAAATGCTAAATGTTTTAGATATATATGGATCTATCTGTGTACCTGTATAGCTCCGTGTCTCTAGCAGTGGTTACCAGCTTTAGGCCATATGACCCCAGTGAAATGAAGTGGTGTAGATAGAGACAGAGTATACCCAGAGAGCAGCATGCAGCACCTGGCTTTTCCACCCAGGAATAAGTGTTTCAAACGTGGGCAAAAGTGGTGGTGTTGTAAACAAAAAACACACAAATTATGGCTTTTTTTTGTTTTGTTTGAAGGGTTTTTTCTTATTTACTTTCTGATCTTTCAAAATGTGTTGCCCTTTAGATTGGTGACTCATTTTGGGCCTAGTAATTAAAGCTCATCATAAAACCTCAATACCTTTTTTGGTACGGATTTAAACTTGTATCCATGCAGTAAAACTGTGAAGTACCAAAAGCTGGAATTCAATGTCTGGGGATGTTTAAAAAAAATCTTGTGTACTTTTAAATGTTTGCCAAGGCTTTACCATTTTATTCTGGAAAAGGAAAAGCTTGGGTTTATGCAAGATTAAAGATGTGTGTCGCTTTTGTTAGAAATAGAAACATGTGTGTCCAGCTATCATTGTTGAAAACATTTGGTAGGCTATCAATACTGAAACTCAGATACTCTATTGACAGTAGTATCAAATCATTGGCAAGCCTCACAAGCCCTGTCACAGCGTTCAACTCTATGTACCTGCATGTGTTGTGTCTGAGTCTGTGTGTACACTATGTGCTTGTCTGTGTCCTTGAGAGCCATCTAGCCTTAATTGAGTTACAATCTATCCTTCCTTTCACTTTGAAGCTGTGTTTATTCTCTAAATCCACAACAAGTGTGTCCTCCCTGACTTCCTGCAGTGGTTACAGTGTGTCTGCGGTACACTTCGTTTTGTGTTTCCATGCTTGACTTGTTTCGTTTTTTCTAAATGGCAAAAGCCACATCTTCCCGCTCAGGAGGCTTGTTGTCAGAATGTAATTACAATTTGCAACCACTGGCTCTCTGTGGTTATCTTTTAACTTAACCTTTAATGGAAAACAGTAGTTGTGACATTAGTCTTATCTACCACAGAGATCACAGTTCTAGTGTATGCTAAGCTTAACCCAGGAAGTGAAGATGTAATCGTTTCAGGCAGTTTTGCTAAATGGATTTAGGTTATTTTTAATCCGACTTCATTTTGGTTTTCTTGTCGGCCATGTCCATAATAACTGACTAAGGATTAACAGGAGCGTGGGATTTGTGGGAAGCACTGCAGTTCTTCTATTTAATGTGAGATATCTAAAATAGGTGCAGTACTTCTGACAAATGTGGGTTGCTTTGTCGTCTTCACAGTGCAACACTATCATTGATTTTACTTAACACATAACACTAATATCTTTTAGCTTAGACTTTCTGTGTCTTGGTTTCTTCTCTTATGTTTCATTGCAATGCATTGCGCCTCTGTGAGGGCTTATAGAGAAACGTTGTCAGAATACTGATCTGTGCAAGATTTCAAACCTGCATCCAGGTAGTTAAATATAAAAATAAAATAGATGTCACTGAGATCTGATTGTTTCTGCGTCGCTCTATAAATCGCACATGGAGGAATAAGGTGTTTCCTCATGTCGGTGACTTTTATGTCGCCGTGTTACATTGTCAGTCCTTTGCTGTTGTCAATGGTCCTGAGACACCATGTGTGAGGGAGAGAGGACAATGTGTGAAATATTGGGGGTAGTTTTTTTCTTATCCTCTTTTAATGTGTTTGTTGGTGAAAGGGCTGAAGGCTGCTGTTCCTCCGTGAAAAGAGGAGATAGTGGTGTCTGACAAGGTGTGAAGAAAGAGGCAATGTAAGAAAGAACAGAGAGTCTGAAGGGCAGCCGGTGTGTCTCATTTCTTTGAGTGCTGAGGAGAACACACACGCTATCTTTGGTGGAAGATTTATGACATTGACGATCAAAAGCATCCACGACGCCAACAAAAAGGTTTGATTTTACGCTACAGAGATAAACGGAGGCAAGAGGTTAATAATGTTGTAATCATTTTTCTGATATATCAACAGGATGTGATTCTAACTAACACTACGAAGGAAAGTCTTTAATTGTACGTGTGTCCATAGTAGAGGCCTATCAGGGGATAATGTTTCCCCAGGTTTTAACTCAAACTAGTGTGTTTCCTTTTGAGGAACAGTATGAATGAGGTTCATGTTACCAGGTGGCTCTCATGCAATGTCACCTCAGCATGTCCCTGTTTGTCTTCTCTGAAGCATCATCGTGTGGCTGTGGATGAACCTGAGGCAAAGCAGTGAGTCAGTGTGTGTCACTGTCTTTTGGGCAACTCAAAATGGAGTCCCAGCGTTGGAGTCGAGGCTTTGAATGATGTGCCGGATCAATACAGGTAGAACATCAACGTCAGTGGCGTTTTGTTTATGCATCGCTTGCTGATAATTGAAAGTACCTGCATGGTGCAGCAGTTTCAGGACATTGAACACTAGAGGGGGCGTTCCTCATGGGCATGTTCACACTGATGACATAATGTTGTCTTCTTGGCTGGAGAGCAAAACAGCTCATCATGGTGTGAGTGTGTGTGTTTTGCTTCTTGATCAGGGAGAAGCTTCAACTAACAATGATTTAACCGTGAATCGTTTGATCTTTAAAGAGTCAAATGTGTTATTTTCTTATGACCAAGAGGTTAAAACCCAACGATATGTTATTGTTTCATATATATGATTAAGAATATATGCACATTTTAGAAGCTGGAACCAGATAATTTTAAGCATTGTTGCTTATATAAATGATCGATTTTCTATTGATAAACTAATCTAAAGAGTAATTGCTTCACCTCTGTCAGAAACTGCAGCTAGATGTTGAGAGACTGCTGATCTCTGTCTCTTTCAGACTGAACGGTCAAATAAAAATCACCAGTGGCATAAAGTGACCACGACTCAGCGTTTTGACGTGGATTTGTGCCAGAATCAGTTCGATGTGAATGTCATTGTCAGTCATCTCATGGTGGCCATATCTCAGGTTGCTTTCAGTGGGTGGGCTGCTTCCTCTCAGGGTTTGTCAGGCAATCTGTCTGTTTTCTAAACTGCTCCTCGTCTTCCTCAGGAGCAGCAATAGCTCATCTCAGCACACATCCTACAAAGACGTATACAAATAAAAATGCACAATGGAGAGTATCTGATATCAGTCACATAACCCTTTAAAGACTGATTGAGCTGAATTAAAGGTATAGCCGTACCAACCTTCTTCACTTAATGTAGAGAGAAAACAAAATGGCTGTATTATTATAAAATGATATGAAGCGAGAGCTGCAGCTAGCACTTGTTTTCATTACTGATGAATTTGTCATTGGTTTGGATTGTGTAAATCCTTTTCCCATGGCTCAAAGTGACACCTTCAAATTGTTTAGATATTCCTAGTAACAGTCTGAATCAAATCTAGATTTATCGAGAAAAAAGCAGCAAATCCTCACATTTGAGAATTTTGTTGAAATTGTTTTTCCAGTACATACGGTCCAAGGTCTCGCAGTTGTTTTGCTTGTAGGTTTATTTTTCCTCTTGGATTATTTTATGTAAATTCAACATTTTAAACCAGCAAAAGCCATGGAATAATTCATGTAGTAAAAGAGGGCTATGATGCAGTGGGTGAGATGAGTTCAAGTGCATATAAACATGTCATCAAATAATCATGGTATCAGGGAGCTGCAGGGGGGATTAAATGAAGTAGCTTGAAACAACATCATGTAGTAACTAAAATGATGACGGTAAGTCCAGGAAAAATATGAGCCCTGGTTATAAAATGTTTCATCAAGTGATAATTGAAATTAGCTCTTTCAGTCTGGATTCGAATCTTTAGGACGGCATTTCTAGTATCAGAATTTATTATAATAATAATAATAATAAGATGAAAAATGTTGTAGCAGTATTATCTGTTTTGAGTGGGCAGCATACTGGTATAATGTGGTATGTGTTAGTGACAGCAGGAAAGATACATATTCATTTTACAGATGGCTTTGAATTGTTAAAACAAATGATCCTTACACTCCATTTAGAGCACACAGTGCATTATACCTTTTAATATGTTTGAACAGCACTACGTTCATGACTTGATCCTTTATAATTCTGCCAACTTCAATTTTGTACAACTGCGTAATATTGTGCAACAAAAAGAAACAGATATTAATTAATCTTTTACTAGTGTCAGAGTTGTCTAATCTCCTCTTGATTGTGACAGTTCGAAATTAAATTCAACTAATTGCTTAACATCTCTGTTAGGAGAAATGGTGTGTTGACATGTGTTGGACTGATTTCCATTTAGATTCCCATTAGGAGTAATTTAGCAGCACTTTCCCTTACTGTTACCTGCTGCTCAAAAGACTAACCTCAGCATCTCATGTTTTATTTCCACAGGTGATCTCCTGCAGGGGACCAACAGCTCTCTCTAAGGTTTATGGAAACCTGACCTCCCATTGGTGGAGAAGGTGAGTTTTTACCGTCTGTTCGTTTTGCTTCATCCTCATTTAGCTTCTTGTTGCACAGTTACTCCAGAGGGAACAGAAAGGGCTTTTTAAAGGACCTTTTGTATAATTGATAATGCTAAATACACCACTTAAGGTGATTAATAGCTCTTTGTCAATGGTGTTAATATTTTATGAGGGCGTTCCAGTCTTTCATCGAGTTAACTGGAGGTCACATTTGTTTCCTTTTTGAGACTTTTTATATCAGAATGAGAATCAGAAAGCCTTTATTTGTCCCACAGTGGGGGAATATACAGCGTCAAGGCAAGCAAGGTACAGATAAAAGGCAGCATTCATCTGCTACTTAGTAATATATATCTACTATCTAATATATATATATCATTCCAATAACTTGTATATAGACTCGTACTGCACTATTCCACTAATATTTTAGAACTATTTTTCTTTTTGTATTACTTTTACTATCTGTATTATTATGTTGCATTGTTGGAGAAGCCTGTGACCTAAGATTTTCAACGACATAATTACTCTGTAGCTATGTTAGTTTGACAATAAAGAACCTTGAACCTTGAGATAAAAGGAAAACAAATATATTAATATAATACAAAAAAAGTTAGGCACACAATATTAAGAATATAGACAAATAGTTAAAGTACACCATGGTAAGTGAATATATAAAAGTAATTGAAAGAGCCGGTAATATTGAGGAATTGTGTATGTATTGTAAAATATATACACAATAGATATTGAAGATATGAAATTGTAAATAATGTGTTTTACTCTGTGCATGATTAGCATTACATATAGGAGATCTACTGTAGTGTTTCAGTTTTCTAGCTACAGTTGATCATATTCACTCACCTGTAGTCGGTTTCCTCCACAATAACATTTAGACTCTCTTAATCATTTGTGTTAGGTTGTCTCAAAATGTTCCTTTATTACCTCGCTAAGAGCAGCTCTGGCTGTCTCGCTGGAGAGAACAACTACTCAGGAGTGATTATTGATTTCCTTGTTTTGATGTCTTTGTTTTGTGTGCAGAACCTCACTGCAGCTGTTTGAGGAGCACAGACTGTTGTTTGTATAAGCAGAAAGGCTCATCAGAACATGATGGCCCAGATCAGGGAGGTTTCTCCTGGGATCCTGAGCAGGGGTGGACTGGAAAAGAAAGCTAGACCAAAATAATACTTAGTGTTTCAATTTGAGTATGCTCAAGGTAACCTAAGAGCCCAGAAATGAAATGATATCACCAGCAGGAATATTGTCTGTCAGCCTTGTCCGACATTATTTATGCTCTCCACCTCTTGTCCACTGATACACTGTTGATATCATGTTGGAAATGCCTCTAATCAAAGCTCATCGATTCTTAGTTTCTAATTATCTGAGTTTGAAATATTTCAAAAGGGACAAGATGTACTAATTTCTGCTTGATCATAATATCAGCACATATTCTTTGAACAAAGAATATATCACTTAGTCAGGCAAAGTTGTGATTTTAAAGCCTCACCCAGTCATGATTATTTGTATAGAAAGCAGGTGTTTGACGTGGTGGTACACTACATCTGTATTACACTGCTATGTTTTACAGAACCACATCTCTATTGGGGACCATAAATCAGAATGAATGGTTTCAATCTTTAGTTGTAGCACAGCCAGTAATAATGTTTAAAGAGCAAGCAATTAAATAAAACCAACCATTACATTTAATTATCTCTTCAGCCACACTTATCAGCATGGCCTTTAGAAATGTTGAAAGTAGTATAGTGATATTTGTAATTCTTAAAGTCACACTGTGATCTCTGTAACCTCCTCATGTCAGCTGAAGAGGTCGCCCAGGCTTGGTGGCTTGTTAGCCAATATCTACAGAAACATTTACACACAAATTATTTATTTAGCTTCTTTCCTTATTTAACCACCAGCAGCACTTGTTTGGCTCCTGATTATATATATCCATCCTCATTTTCTAAGCCAAATTGGCTATATTTGTATTTAGGATGAATCATTTATGTACGTGCCAATTCAAAGTAAGTTTCGTCTTCAATTCTAGCTTTTAAGTGCTGAATGATGTCTGTTTGATTGCTTGTTTTCTGAGAGATGACTCCTGGTGCTGGTCCAATTACGAGTCCAGTCTTGATTTTTTTTTTAAGGTCTGAATTTTCAGACCTCAGTCACTGCAGGCAAACAGTCAGATTCTATGGCATCTAGATGTACGTTGGGGATAAACAGGGATGTAAGGTGATAGCATCCTGGATATTCAGTTGTTGTATCTCCTGGGAAACTGGTGTTGTTGCTTGTAGTCTCCTGTCAGTTTTCTGTTATCGTCATCATATTTCACTTGATCAAGGAGCTAATTAAGCAGTAACATGTGTCACATTTACTTTGGAAAGTGAACCAAAGGCTGTTTTTGTAAACTGAAATTACATTTAGAAGTCCTTTACTATTATGAGCGGTAATACTTCTATTTATTTTCAATATAAACATGTTGGCTGACTTTGTATATGTATATTTTATATTGTGTATATAATCATTTTAGATGCAAATCCCTTTTAGTTAAAAATCTCTAGCACTTTCCATTAACTCCTCCTCCCACTCTCACCACTTCTCATACACACACACACACACACACACACACACACACACACACACACACACACACACACACACACACACACACACACACACACACACACACACACACACACACACCCACGTCCAGGCGGTGTGTTTGAAGGCAGCCCATCAGTATTCAGTGCAGCATCAGGCAGCTAAACGGTAAGAAGGCGAAACGCTGGTGTGTTTGGAGAGCAGCATTTCCAGATTCACTGTTGCCTCTCTCCCTCCCTCCCTCCCTCCTTCCCTCCCTTCCTCCCTCTGCTTCCTCTCCCTGCCTGGACATTGGCAAAATCTGGACTGGACCCTGATCCTCCGTCCTCCCAGCCTCCACTGCTGCATGTCTGCAGTTCATTCCTTCATCAGCAGCCATCACAATGTGTCTGTGCTCCCCTCCTCCACTCTGCCTCTCTTGTCCGTCTCTCTCTGCCCTTCCCCGTCTGCGTGTTAACCCTCTGTTCTCCACACTGTTCTCCACACTGTCACCAGGAGCTTGTGGCAAGAGGGAGTTACGTAAGCACTGCAGCAGCGCTCGGGACACTGAGCTAAATCGTGTGTGTGTGTTCTCGGCAGGTCGTAAAACTTATGTTTTTACTCAACATAGTTTCCTTTTAACAGACTCTTCCTGTCTTTCCACCTGATCATCTTCTATATCTGTCCCTCTGTTTGACTCTAGCCATCTTAGATATCTTACTGTGTACATTTTTGGAAGACACAAGGATCATTTTATAGTCCATGTTTTCAAGAAATCTTGTTTTTTTTAATCAGTTTGTCAAAAATACCTGCAAGACTGTCTACAGATATGCTAGTGGCTATGAGAGGCTGTACTTAGGCAAGATGGTGTTTCCAGCTAATGCTAACATTTGCATGCTAACACGTTAATGATAAGAAGGTATACTGTTGCCATGATTACCATCTTAGTTTAGGATTTTAGCATGCTCACATTTACTGATTAGTGCTAAAAGTACAAAACTAAAATGTTTATTTTTGCAGCAATTTGATGATAAATTTGATTATGGGACAATTTAATTTTGGACCAGATGATGATATTAAAGGAAAGATATTGCAACAGAGATAGTTATAATTCATCCAGAGGAAAGATTAGTGGCTTTTGCCATTGCCTCTTGGGAGTTGTAATTTTGTCTTGACATTATTATGTACTCAATCTAATTTGACAGTGAACTAGATTATCTCTGATGCCTTTTTAAGAAGTTTGTACTGATGATCCAACAAACTTGAAAGCAGCCGAGTGGTTTTGCTTGTAGTAAATGTTGTAAACAAGGTCAGAGACAGTGAGTCATGTCGTCATGACTATAGCTCATTGATTGATCTGACAGAGGGACTCCGTTCATTCTCAGTGGGAGCTTTAGAGCATCTTGCTGCTAGTCAAAGCAGGTGTTACTATTACATTAATTATACTTACATGGTTTTAGCATAGACAAAGGAGCATAATTACTGCCAACAGCTAAATCTTCCTCCAAGAAGACAATTGAGGTCATGATGAAGGAAAGACAGAAACACTTTGACGTGAACTGACACTCTATGTCTCAGGAGTGTTAGAGAGTTGATATGATTCACTTTAGTTTGAGCTGGATATTTTAGTCTTTAGCTATGTTACCGTGCGACTCTAGGCATGGCGATGGCTGAAGACTTGTTCTGTGAGAATTACTGAATGAAGAGAAAAGGTTGGCTGTTTTTTTTTTCATGTTATTATATTATAAATTGGATGCAGCTCAGGTCATGCCCAAACAGTTCTTAAGCTCTCTAAAGCCAATGTTATGATGCTCTAGTTCTTTTTAGATGTTCTGTCTCATTCTTATTGTCTGTTTGAATTATTTTATATTATTATAATTATCCTGGTAAATGGTTCATATTCACATGTCCTGGTGGGAGACAACATTTGTCAATTTCTAGGCTTGTGGAAGGTATACAAAAAAAAGGGTTGTGAAAGGTGTTGGTCTTTTCTAGGTGTGATTTACTGAGTGATTAGGCTCATTCTTTTTGAAATACATTTAATTATGATACATTCTTTTTATAAATTGCTTAAGAAACAAGCTTGAATAGTTCTAGTTGTATTGTTTTATTAAGTCTTTTTGTTGTTGTTGCCAAAACATTGTATATACCCGTTAACTATCACTTGGCAACATCTTCTATATAAGCCCATTTCATAGTGTCAGGCTATTACCTCACCACCTGTGACATTGGATAGTCCTCGTATCAAACCATTTATTGGAGATTGAACCAGAGTGAAAACTGTTTTATGGGCTGACTGATGAAAGTAAGCATGTTCAATCCCTTCCAGCTTTATTTGACCTGAGGCTGACCATGACCTCTGACCTCCCAAACAACACGATAATATTTCCCCACATTTATCAATTCAATTAAATAGCAATGCA